TTCGAATTCGAATATCCAATATATAATAAAACTTCTAATAGACAAATTCGTTGGAGCATTTATTATATATGTTTATATGCAAGTGTTTATATGAAAGGTTTTACACTCACCGCCTCGGTTGGTAGGTGGGGGACATCCTGTTTACCAAAGAGGATAACCCTATAGTGCATGGTAGGGACAACGTTTATCCATGTAAACACCTTGTCTCGGCCTCCGGGACTAACTTTTCCTACCGGTGCCTGCGCAAAAACTAGGGGATAGTAAACGCTTGGTAAAGTTGTCCCTATACCCTTGATCATGTACAGCCCTTAGTGCTACGAAATGGAGGGGTTGTTTCCAATTAATAGAAAACATATTTTTCATTTTTTTTTACTTTTGGAAACTTATGACGGATTTGCTAATTAAAACAATTTTTATGGCTTTGCCGTTTTGGTTTTTGTATCTGCGTAGCAGATATATTGCTATCGTCTTGTTCACTGTTCACTGTTCACTGTTCACTGTTCACTTCTATCCAATAAACGGCTAGTATTATGAAAGATTACGTCAGGAATGCTACGATGCCCGTTCGCAGGCTGAACAGTAAACACATGGAAACGGGCAGAAAGCAGTGATTTCAGTGATTGTATTCGATTCTATAATCTATAGCTCAGTCCTGATTTTTATCTGTCGTTTTGGCACTTTTTGCTTGGAAGTTGAAAAGGCTTTTGATTTTGTAGCAACTAGGAACGACCGTATATCCTGACATAGTAAGTATTTTAATCATGAATTCTAATATTTTAACCAGTGCGAATGACGGTACTTCTAGTATATTTTGTGAGTTGCATGGATCGATAATTTATACTTTACGAAAGAATCTACGTCTTAGGGCTAAACCATTTCAGAGGACTTATGAACCTCTTCGGAGGGCGAAACAACCTCTTCGGAGGGCAAAACAACCTCTTCGGAGGGCAAATCAATCTCTTTGGAGAACAATTGAACAATCTCTTCGGAGATCAATGCAATTAGAATCTCAGAAACGTAAGCTTTTACATTCAAGACCTGTCCACAGTAGTTGTATTAAATGTATAAATTCAGATCGCGCTGTGTGTGTAAATGTAATTATCGATTTTCTGTGAGATCTTGTGCAAGAAAATTAAGTCAACCAAATATGAAACGATTTAGAAGAGATCGCGAGCCTTCTAGATTACCTTTGAAGCGAATAATATTAGCTATGAGAAAGAGGAAAAATAGACCACTTCTAAAGCGTTACTTGCTAATGTCTGCACCCAAGTCTTCTACTTTAAACAAACTAGTGGGCAATTTCAAGGAATATTGTTTTCAATTTATGCATACGCAACATACATTTCTTCAGTCATTTGCATATATTAGACCATCCGTTAATTTAGTTCAGAGAAAGCATAAAATTAGAAAACATTCTTTATGCAATCAATCAATAAACAAAAATAGCAGTTTTCTCTGTCAGTATAACATATGTGAAAATAAACTGTTGTTGTCAGGAGATATTGAATTAAATCCTGGTCCTGTTAAAAATACCAACATTGTTCTGCCATCAAATATAGTGTTAGCACAAAGGCTAAGACGCTATCAGTTAATACCATGTGATGTTGGTGGGGTGGCGACTGTTTCTTTCGAGCGGTGTCTCATCAGTTATATGGTGACCCTGAGCGCCATTTAGAAGTTAGAGCAGTCGGTATTGCATATTTGCGAGACAATCCTCAGAGATTCATTGAAAGTAATACTGAAAACTCCTTGTTAGATTATCTCAATACTATGTTTTTTTAAACAGAATAGCTATATATAGCTACCTATAAATTTGCCAAATGATGATAAATTGTTTGGGCCAAATGATCATAAAATGATCATAAAATGATCATAAAATGATCATAAAATGATCATAAATCATTTGGAAAAATGTAGTTTTTCCTTCAATAATGCTGGTGGTATAACTAAAACCCTGTCTTTCGATTTTTTACGTGATGAGCAACATGCAGTCCGCCCGTGCAAATTCTACTAGGACTTGACTACATACATGGAAACCTTATAGTCCGAGTACGCCAAAAATAGCACGAGTGCTGGGTAACACTGTTGCGACATAATCAAGATGAGACGTTTGTCATGTGTCAAGTCGTGTATTTATTTGACGACCTCTAGGTATAGCATTTCATTTTGAACTTAGGTTTGGTTGTGAGCGCTATAGAAGTGCGTGGCTGCGTGCCTTGCATGGAAATGTTGTACGTAGATATTACAGTGTTATGCTGTGGCTTTATTTATTCATTTGGCTATAGTTGTCTATATTGCTTGATGAATTGTTGGCTTGTAAGGCGTCAGTGAAGTGCCAGTTTGAATGTCATGGGAAGAATATTAAAGTCTCGCTATTCACAGCCGAATGTTTTATGCAATGTTTTCCAGCACGGAATTTGGTTTCATTGAAAGGCTCAACAGTGGCCGGTAAGTAAGATCATGCAGTCTTTTGTAGGCCGAAATTAGCGTGATAATTGTGGAGGGGATGCGTATTCATACATTCTCTTGTGCCCAACGGATTTCTTAATCTGTCGGACAGTCGGACAGATTGGTAGAATGAAAATATATGCTTCCCCCTTAATTTTCGAATCTAATTTCGGTCCTGCTTTTGTCAATATAAAGTAGCCACGTTTGAGATCTACATAATTTGTTTCGAACATTTTGTAAATTTGAAAGCTTAGTTTGTATCTATAATCTATTATCGCATGCAGTCCTCTATAGAAAGTTCATACCTCGCACGATTGTCTATGCATGCATGCAGTAGAGATAAAGTTTCATATGGGGTGTTGAAAATTGATAAAGTGGATTAACTCATAAGAATGTGAATATAATAGTATCACAAGAGCAACAGCATAAAATGCCTTACCCCTGCAGTCAAATTACTGTCATTGGGATTGATAAGCACGGTTTCTATAAAACTAAATTGTAAAGCGTATTGAAAAAACTATGATTATTTGGCATGCATGCATGAGATTCGATTGTGCTTGTTTGCGCACCCGTGGCTTAGCAAATTGATCAGGCATTTAAATTATAAGAGTGGGTTTATTTCTAAAGGTCTTCTTTTTTCATATATACACCCTTATGCTGGTATTCATCATTGGTTAGGCATTTCAGCTACTTATTTGTGTTATCTGTGGTATGTTGTTGTTTAGTATACTTGAACATGCAGTATCCTATTAATTAAAAGAATACATGCATCAACAGCTGTGAGCAAACCTAGTGCATATATATATATATATATATATATATATATATATATATATATATATATATATATATATATATATATATATATACCACATGTAATATACACGCAGTATCAAAAAAGTGCAAACACTATATAGTTTCTATAGAATAAGTAGATCTTTGTCCTTCGGATAACACAAATTGAGTTATAATGCAAATTAGGAATATTATATAACTTCGGCTACGAATGGCTCAGCTGGCCGCAGAGCAAAGGCGAGAGTGCTTATCGTGTCAAATTACGCGAAAACACGCAGTGTTCAATAAAAATATTATTGTGTGTTTATGTACACAATTTACTTTGCTTGCATATGTTTTCGTTAGTAACACTAACCCTACACCGTTACCGTAACCGTAGCATGATCAATTGTGTTTTACGCGCCCTCCATGGCCTTCGTTTGGTCTGTTTTAAAATTTTGCAAATATCTGATTTCAAAAAGGTTTGTAGTTTTTATACACCCTATGTACAATAAGGCTTAAGTCGCTTACTCGCTGCGTTAACAAATTTGTGCTGAGTTAACTCGTGCTGAGTTAACAAATTGATTCAGGGTTTGTGATATTTTCTGTGGAATATCTCCCTGGCAGCGCAAGTTTCTAATGTGTGCATATGGTTTTCAGGTTATGGTTTTCAAGTTATTGAACTGCCTCTTGATTGCTAACTTAGACAATATAGTTTTCGATTTTTTGTGCCCAATTCCAGTTGGAAGTATTTCATATATAAGCATGCAATATTTTCTCAAAGCCGTAGGAAACAAGTGCAAATAAATTGGAGCAGAATAAATTTTTGCATATGCTCGTAAGTGCCCTTTTTTTAGAAAGTGATATGAATTCAAGGAGTTTCTTTGCTAAGATTCTCTTCAGAGGCCGGTTGTATGAAAACTGGATAGCGCTATCCACCGGATAGTGATTTTTTCAACGGTTCTAAAAATGCTTGAAAAGCAATAAAATTTCAGCTTTGAAATTTCAGCTTATTAAAGAGTATATCCTTTTTTCGGCATACTGTAAGATTTAATTAATCAAAGTTAACGGGCGATTTTAAAGCGATTCAAAAAACCACTATCCGGTGGATAGCGCTTTACAACCGGCCTTGGAAGTCTTCGATAGTTTCGTTTTATATAATTTTTACCTAAATTAAACCAGTGATTAAACTGTTGCTTATTTCAACCGCTGCGAGTGTTAGCATTGTATGACTGTCAATCACAATGCATGTGTAATAAGTAACTAGCTTTTTCTTAAACGCACTTTTGAGTTGAGGATTTTCACCTTGTTGAAGCATTTGATGAAAATTATATGCGTGTAATGTGGTTTAGTGCGCTTGTACATAGTTATAACGTGATTCGGTATTCTTAATCTCGCATGGGCTGTGTCTGTACACTTGCACACGAAAATATATTCCCTTTTCATGCGTTCTTTGTTTCAGAGTGAAATGTCCATGATTGCATCAGCGAATTTGCCATTAAAACTTGCGTCGGATTTCTTAATTGGTGACATTTATTTTTAGTCCGTCTACGCGGCATGCCCTATACATTGGAATTCTGCGCGTACAGCTGAATTATATACATTGCAGCCGGTTTGCATTCCCAAATTCTGTGGTGTAGGCGCCTTTCAATGACTGAAAGTGAAAAGCAATGTGTTCATGCACGGTTTTCATTTATAGTCGCTGCCGGGTTTCTCGATCAGAACTCAGAAGTATTCGGATTGGTAAATTTTCCGATGCACATTATGTTCCATTGTGCATGGCAGCAATATAGGTAATAAACATTGGCGGTGTATAACTGCATGAATGTAAAAATGATGAATGCCAAAAATAGGCTGGATTTATATTGCAATTATATACACTCGCATGTGCATGTCAAGATTGATTCGCGCCAAAAATTTGAAAGTGGCGCGAATTATAGAATTCAAAAATGGCGCGAATAGAATTTAAAAACGGCGCGCTTATATAGCTATAATGGCGCAGTGTATACATGAGTAATTGAATATATTTGAAGTTATATGTACCAATTCATATAGCATATGAAATTTTTTACTCTAGATGGTTGTTATAATTAATAGCTAATTCTGATATCGAAAGGAGGGAATAAATGTTTCGCTACGATTTGAACATGCTACATATAAATGCAAGATATAAGATGTAAGTTGAATTGGTGTCCGTCACAAAGACATATCGTAACATATGCAAAGGAAAGATGTATTGATTGAAACATTTGTATTCCAATGGTTATGATTCGATTTATTGAAAATTCCAGTACGGTCAATCGATTAGCAATTGGGATAGTTCAGTGTTAATACAATGCAAATTTGCTGGTAAACTCGTATCATATCGTTCTTAAAGTTCTTATATTTTCCATACCTTATCTAGCTGATTTCCCTCTTCAAATCTTTCTTAACGTTTCGTTTTGAACGTTTATCTGTTTCTTCTGCAGGCTTTTCTTCTGTCTGTCTTCTAGCGTTGCTGGTTGCAAGTGCGCTTGGAAATGGTGATCGCGCAGTTTTTAATGCACCATTGCTGTAATACGATATTTCTAGTTAGTCATTTGGCGCCAAAAAAGTGCGCCAATTATTCATTCAAATAGTAATCCTCGGATAGAGGCCTCTAAACGTCGCAGTAAAATTTCTTACTATTTGAGACAAGAAACATTTTAAGGCAACATGCATGACAAGTAATGATATATCGTACAAGTGATTTAAAAAATGTTGAATAGCTTTGCTGTATCCTTTAGTGTAAATAGATATTCACGAGTTAACATGAGCTCTCCTATTTTAATACCGGTATTATTATGACTAATTTGGCTCACTTAAAACGCATGTTGCATTTATTTTTTTAATGTTTAACGGTGAATTTATCGTGCATGCAAATAATAATTACAGAACAAGACAAGAACATGCAATAGTTGGCTAATACTAAGTTCTAGGATCTTATTCTATTTCTTACTGGGAATAAAACGGTAAAAAATTTTATAAAATGATTCTCAGTTTTAAGACAAATACATTGTTTTATTTTTTTCAGGCAAAGGAATATTTCATTACCTAAGAACAACCACAGTTCTCTGCTCATTTTGCTGTGGGGAGTCTGCATCACCAATAACGAAGGGCGAGTATTTAGAGGTGAGAGACAAGTAGCGTTAGGAAAAAATCTTTGAATAAAAGCTATGTTACGCGGTGCAATTTTTCTTGCAACTTGCATTGCAATTCTACTTTTAAGAGATGTAAATTAGTGAAGAGTCTTAAATTAGTAAGTGTAAGAAACGCCACGAAGTGTAATAAAGACAAAAGTTCGGTAGTTGCCAAATTTACATCTCTCAAAAGAAGAATTGCATTGCAAGTTGCAAGAAAAAAATTGCACCGTGCATGTAACATGGCCTTAACATCATGTGTGGATTTTCGTGAGCCTGCATGATTCACAGTAGTCGTAATTCGTCGGCTACCTATGCATGGTATTCTTATGCGGCAGACAAAGCATTAACCCACTTGTTAATATTGTTATTCGACCTATCGTTAACAGAGATCCCGAAATTCTACTAGATACTCAATCGTGCATTATTAGTTATAAGTATACTTAATACTTGTTAAATTCTTGAATAATTAATGAAGTTTATACCCAACCAAATTTTGTGAATTAGGTCATATCACACGCTGTATACACCATACAATTAAGATGAAAAATACAACCACTAGTGTGTGGAACTGATTTGCATATTTATTAAAGCATCTCAAAGCAGCAATGAAATGGGCATTTGAAAATTTGTAAGCATGGGAGTATAGCGTAAATTAATTAGTTTTCTTTTACGGTTTAAAAGTTTCTTTTGTCCTCCTATCAGGGGAGTAACTATATAAAACGATAATTGGGGGCAGGTGAATATTCAATGTAAGCTATTGCACTTACAAAAGAAATCCGTCGGCTATATAAATTTTCACCCCACCCCCAATTAACGTTCTAATTGCGCCACTGCCTCCATGCACCATGCATGTGTATATTAGCTATTATGATAAACCCAATTGAAAGCAAGACGCTTTATTTGAATGCCTCAACCTAATAACTATGCTATTTACACACTATTGCGTTGATCATGCATTCAAATCAACAAAGGCTTCATTTCAATAGGGGGGACTTTTTTTTTGACTCACCCTGTATATCTACTTATTGATATTAGTTTCACTACATGTATTTGTCACTTTTTTATTGTAGAATGTCTGTCAAGAAAAGTAAAATTAAAGCCGTTGTCTATGGTAATGCCTCCATATTGTCAGGAAAGCAATTTACTGACGCTGTCAACAGAACACTGAGTTCATTGGTTTTTGTCATTTCCATACAACTCAATCCAAGGAGAATTTTCGTCTTCCCAGAAGCGGCATGCGCCAGGCAGAGTATAAACAACATTTATAAATGATGAGTTGCCAAACTGGTCACAGTTACTGTTTTCGGCAGAGACTTTAACGTAGAGAGACTCGTGTTCTTTGATGCTGATCCGGTGTCGTCGGCGTAAATGATCTGAGATTCTTGAAACTGGAATATTGTAATATCGACAGCCAGGTACATGGCAGGTTCTTCTTGCGTGACGGTCAGCTGAGGATTTTGTGCAAGTCCTTCTTATGGCACTTGGGGTTTGGTATTTTTGATGCTGCGCCATGGTAATAGACGGATGAACTCTTTTAAGATGCCTGTCAAGTCGTTTAAAGAACAATCCATGTTGTGTACAGCCCTCCACTCGACAAACGCCGCTCTGAGGCATGCTGTGTTACAGTATTGCTTGTGTTTATTATTAATGGTGATTATTCGTTCAATGTTTTGCAAGATGTATAGCTGTCTATCATATGACTCAGAATTCGAATCGACGAACGTTTTGGCGGGCTTTGTTTGTAAATTTTCCCGCGCCTTATTGTGGTCATTAAAATTCCTTTTCTGATATAGAATTACAAATCTGATGTTCAATCATTTAAATTTTTTTGCAACAAAACATTCCACAAAGCATTCCAAAGTTGATGAAATTGCAAAATCAAGTTTCTGTCATATTTCTGTCAGTATCATCAAATTTATGACATACCTGTGGTCTGATTATTTCTTCAACGTTTCACGAGATGTACAGAATGTCCGCAAAAAAGAACCCTTTTCAAGTTTTGTCAGAGTTTGAATGCTTTATCATTATGCCAAACAATTGCAGCTGTTGTGTAAAAATTGGAAAACTGAACCATAGACCTTACCATATAGTGATCAGGCGCGTTGAATTTCGAGCCAAAGCTTGATGGGGTCAGGGTTTCCACAATATTGACAACCACAAGGGAGGGAGGGATCTGTGTTAGTAAGATATATTATGCAATCTTTTCAAAAGTTCTTTATTGCTTTTTTTTGTCATTTCTATCTCCCTATGAGGACGGTCATATGCAAATAAGTTGTGGATGGGGTACATTTTTCCTGTAACATATAGCTGTGATATTTTCTACCAGTACACTTATTTTATTGCATTATACTCTAAAGGCAGAAATAAATCAACGCAGCTTTTGGCGGGCTCTCTTCATACATTTTCCCAAGCCGAATTTGGTAGTCCAGATTGCTCTACTAATATGTTCGAAATTACAAAAGGCTCTCCTTCAATGTTAATTGCCAAAGAGCATTCCAAAGGTGGAAAATTTGAAATCAAGTATTTCTGTCAACATCACCATATTTACGAGTCAAGGTTATAGTGGACATACCAAATCTAAAGCATGGGGTATATAATAGAAGATTTATTATTGTTTTTTGTGGCTTGCATGCATGCGTATCACTGTTTGTCAGAATAAAGATAATAATTTATTCTCGAATCTGCCGTTTTAAATACCTCGTAAAATTCGTCGTAAATATTCTCTTTCAATGGCTCAGAGCATTTTTTGTTTTACATTCATAAAATTGTAGTTATAAAACCTAGCATTACTATCCCAAAAATCAGACCAACAGTGATTCGTAACAACCTATGCATGTGATGCAAAAAGTGCCCTAATTGTGCTCCCATATGTGGGAGACGAAACATGCAAGGTAAATTTCACCACACATATATCTTCAGTTGTAAGCGTTCGCCTAATAAGAGTGTCGACAGAAAGATTAATTATATACCTAATTAAAATTTTTTCATCACTCGGAGTTTCATCTGCTGCGCTTACACAGTACAACTTAAACAGGGAAAAGCGGGCACGTTTGTTTTCTCAATCAAATTCTGAAATGGAGGACTTGAAAAATCAGTTCTGTGATTCGTGATTTTCATCGCATTTAGAATTGACCGTGTCTCGCACGCTCGGTGACGGTTTGATGAGAAACCTGCTGGGCAGAATTACTTGTGTTAATATGACCTTCAGAATGACATTGTGAACCCCACATAGGATGTGCACGGATCAGCCTTCAGTTTTGGTCAGAAATATTGATTATTCATTATACAGGGTGTATCAAAAAAAAGGTAATCCAACTTCAACAAGCTATTGTACGTGAACTACTCAGTGTATGAGCGAATTTTTTTCATATTCAGAAAGATCAGGCTTTTAACTATCGGTTGACATGTTTTTAATACCAAATGGTGAAAAAGTGAGCACATACGAGGCTGATAAAAAATGTTAGTCGCAATCGCATATTTTCACCTTTGAGCCTAATTAAAGCAGTGCATAACAAAAGAAAAAAACAATTAATCATGAACATGTCACAGCTTGCACCGGTTTTATGCCGCATTGCTTGGAATGTTCTCCTTATTCCTACTTAATATGCATATGCGGGTAGTTTATTCAAAAGCAAAATTCTTCAATTAAGTCCCAAAGAGAGTTAATTTTCAATGGTTTCAGTCCCAACTCTCAGAGGTGAAAATATGCGATTTCGACTAACACTTTTTATCAGCCTCCTATTTGCTCATTTTTTCACCATTTGGTATCAAAAACATGTCATTCGATAGTTAAAAGCATAACCTTTCGGAATGTGAAAAAAAATTCGTTAATAGAATGAGTAGTTCACGTACAATAGCGCACCAAAGTTGGATTACCTTTTTTTTGATACACCCTGTATACGAATATTTGGGTTGATTTGAAGTTTTATGAGTTGGGCAATATCCTTGTATTAAGAGTACTCAGTTCGTTCACATTCAATGCAATGTTTCCTCGGTATAGATTGTCGATATTAAAACATGCATGCAGTACGGAATTGGTCATGTTTAATTAAATTGGTATGCGTATATATAACATTCTTTGTTCGGTCCTTACCCGCGTCCATGGATAATCAAATGCAACACTGTCTTTCTAAGGTAGATGGTCCTGAAGCCATAAAAGATTTCTCAACCCTACTCAGATGTTAATTTCCTCTTCCAAACAGCGTTTTCATTTCGCGGAGATGAAATCTGGTTATTCCACATTCCGAGTTCCGTCGCAATCCTAAGTTGGCCCGGTTTGTCACAACACATATATTTATCCGAACAACACCATGCATACACTTGAGTCTTTTCAACTGTACAACTTTGAAGCATTTATTCAATTTTAAAAGTTCGGCAAGCAGTCAAGTACATCAGAAATCATGCTTACAGATTTTGTTTATAAGAAAAGGGCAATCTTTTTGTGTTGAGAATACTTTGCATATTCAAGGCTATTGACTAGTATTGTAACTTCCCAGGGCCTGTGACATTTTTTTCAGTGCAGGACCCCTAATCTTTCCTCTCCGGCCCAGCGAAGCAAATTTGCCATTCCCTGCGATCGGTTAAAAAATTATTGAAATAAATCGAGATGTTTATCATAATTCCAAAAATTGCCTTTCCTTTAAAGGTTTAAAAATCAAAACGTGCATAATGTACATGTACATCAATTGGAACTGTCACTGGACACATGCAGTTTTAACGATATTTTACTTTTGCGTCCTTCTGGCTTTTAGTACAACTGAGTCATGCGCGGCCTTGAGTAGATGCTCTTCTGCCATATGGGAAATCCGTATTATCATTTCCAATAGCGGCGGAATATGAGTTATATTGGCGGGGGGGGGGGGGGGTTGTGTACCGGGCTAAAACCCAATTTGCAAAAGAGAATCGCCGCCTCTTGTAAATTCCGTTCCCTCATTTACGTTCCCTTATTGCCCCTGACAAGTCCATTTCGGCAATTCTGAATGGAATTTATCCTTTATATAGAGTCTTTAAAATATATTATGAAAGCGCTTTTTCTAAACATCCATGCCCAGGGGTAATTATATCTGAAATATTGCAGGGGCTTAGGTCTCCCCTGACACTTCTTTTCTCGGTGTTAAAAATTTTAATTGATGAAAAGTCATGTTTAAGATATTATATCTAGTTCTAGTAATATTCATAATAATTTTTGTTCATTTGTTACACAGTCTGCAGAAAATTTTACACCTTCGAACTTCTTCAGGAAAACAGACACTCTAAAAGCATATATGGACATTTAGCCGGAAAGTTTGAAAACTGTTCATTCCGCTTTCCGAGTTTCCGTCGCCATCCTAAGTTGGCCTGGTTTGCCACAACAATTTTTACATTCATGGCATGCGATCAGTGATCTCTAAATCTTAATTTGCAAAACTTTGACATCAATTGTGAAGTACTTCTAGTACATATAAAAGCTTTTCGCAGGATAAGTTCATGAAGATTTTGCGATAATTTTCTGTTTGAAATCGCAAATATTTTAGTTCTATTTGATGACTAATTACGTATGAATTGGCGTATGACCTATACTTATGACCTATACTATAGCATAGTATAGGTCATAAGACTAATTACATATTGACTGGCATATACTATAGCTATATACTTAGTTTTACTGCTATATAATTTATGGAATACGGTTAAATCAGTAAATTGAAACAATCGCACATTTGCAATGTAAAATAGGGAAAGGAACCGGAATCTTTTGTATTTGCCACACAATTTGAAGACTACTCAGACTCCGGATTACTCAGACAGTATACAACTTGTGTCGATGAAAAACACGCAAATAATTTGCTGCACGCCTAAACAATTTGCCGTAATTCTACACACATCAACTTATATGCTTTTAACAGAACGATGAAATGTTCTGCCAGCGACGTAATATCACCTTGGCCTGATTCAGTGCCAAAACTGTGGGCCGTGTTTTAAACAAACACTTAAGTATGAAACTGATAATTACTAGCGTAGTCTGCAAAAATATTAAAGCCTGGCGTCTCTACAATGTTTTTCAGAATAGCTTATAATAATTGTACGGTATAGTCGCTATAAAGTCAAGCCAGTCCGCGACTCCGCGTGGACGTTTTGTAAAAAACCTCAGTCTTTTGACTAACGAATCCGTAAAGGTAACTTGCTATAGTACGCCTTTATGTCACATTGTTTTTTAACTCCACCTTTGTTTAACCTAGAGAATTTCCGTGATTTAAATTCACTTGCAAGGGTACAAGGTTTAGACGGTTATAGCTATTATATGCGTCGGCGCGTCTTATATATAATTATTGACTGAAATATATTCAGTCAATAATTCTTTATTTATTAATTTATTAAAAAGTCTTTATTTATTAATTATTACGAGTTTGCCGGCAGCATGGGATTTAATGTTCTTGGTGTATATTAAATTAAAATCGTGCATGCTGTAGTATAGCTATCCATGCAGGAATAAATCTGATATTCTACTCAGCTTACTACATTTTTAGACATGACCGGGCCCATTTCACATTCACGTCCTGCAATTCAGACGAATTCCGCAATCCGCCACACCGCCACAAGTTGGCCTGATTTGCCACAACATACTTGAGCTTAAAAAATAATCATATTGGCGTTAACTTTATAGAGGACAGGAATGTGTATACTGATAATGTTATTGCGTTTGTACAATTTTTTTGTTAACAATTAAGCTCCTCATTTTAGCAAATCGGTTGTTATGGGGGCTAGTAAAGTAATAGATTAAAATCATAATATTCTTGTACGTTTGCATGTTGACATCAAATAAGTAAATTAGCTTGTAGGTACACCACGTAAGTATTTAATACTGCAAAGCTTTCAGTCCGTTAACCCGGGCCTTCATCAGTGCAATTATACCTGAAAACCAGGGAGCAGCGTGGCAGCGTCTTCAAACAACTTAGCATCGCCCGCGCGGGCGTAGCGGACGTAATGGAGAATCGCCTTTAAAGCCCTAATTCCACGGGCTAAATTTTCAAGCGAAATGCGAAATATTTCGCCTGCTTCTTTTGAATTGTGAGCAATGAAGTAGAATTAATTTATTCAAGTGGTCGAAATTCAAAAGAAACAGGTGAAATATTTCGCATTTCGCCGAGAAAAACCGCCCGTGGAATTAGGGCCTGATTCCACGTGCGCTTTTTCTCGGCGAAATGCGAAATATTTCGCCAATTTCTTTTTGAATTGTGACCACTGGAATACATTACTTCTGCTTGATTGCTCACAATTCAAAAGGAGCAAGCGAAATATTTCGCATTTCGCTTAAAAATTTCGCCCGTGGAATCTGGGCTTTAGGCCCTAAGGCGGATTTCCACTTACAGCGAAATCCTTCGCTAGCGAAATATTTGCATATTTTCTTTTGAATTGAGAACAGTCAAGTCGCACTAATTTATTCATGCTGTTAAAATTCAAAAGAAAATTTGCAAATATTTTGCTAGCGAACGATTTCGCTATATGTGGAAATCCGCCTTTAGTATGAAAATAAATACGGGAGAATACATGTTTTGTAGGGGGCAAAACACGCGATCAAAATGGGCCAATAGAAAACAAAAAATCAAGACAAATTGGAATACATTACATTGCCGAAGAGACGCCTGGTTGTGGGCTGAAAATAGCCCGCAATGTGGGAAGCCTGATCAGCAACGAAAACGTATTACTTTTTAAATTTTACTTACTTACCTTT